GTCCCATTAAGCCAGCAGTTTTCAAACTTTTTGAACTGAGCCCCCACTTTGAGTTACAATTTTGTTCACACCCCCCCCAACCCAGACAAAAACAGACATACAAAATATACTTTCATAAACTTAACAGAGGCTAACACAAATTTTCCTAATTAAATAACCTACAACTGTACATTTCAATTCACATATTGCAACATATTCACAGATACTGTACTTACCAACTTTAGCCATTTCAGCTTCTGCCTTTTGTTTTGGAAAAGTATCTTTTGGGAATAAGTACCAATCCATTTTTACCCCATAATAGTATGAAACATATTGAACTTACCAGCAGAATAAGATGCACTGCACAAATGCTTGTTGTAATTTTTTTGTGTTGTAAGGGTAGATATGATAGGTGTACTAAGCCGGAAGGCGGGAAATGTAGTTGTTGCTATGGAAAAGATCACTGGCTGAATTAAATACATTGTAATACCTGTGAAGTCAGTTGCAAAAGGTTCACTCAGACTATTTCAATGTGTGATGTTGTCATATATTGTTCCTGTTATATAATAATAATTAAAGTAAAATATGCCTCGTGCATGGTGCCTCCCCACAGTCATGTCTCCCAACGGGGCATACCCCAGAGTTTGAAAACTGCTGCATTAAGTTCATGGTATTCAAAATATGCAATTTTCATCTTTGGATTAGACAAAAACTAAGATGTATTATTACATAAGTGGTTTTACAGCACTAAAGTTGTGGTACCTAACTGCATCACAGAACCATACCCAGCTTCAAATTCTGATCTCTGATTAAACCTGCCAACTCCTGAACTTCCTTGATAGGAGCTTGTTCCATGCTTGCAAAGGCTTGTTTTAGCCCTGTTATGACCACTGGGGTGAAAAATGCAAATGATGTTCTTTTATTTTCCCTTCTACTAAGAATGGAAAAGTCATCAGTTCCTAGCTGGGAATTTTGCATGGGTTCAAGCTGCTTGGTGAACAACACTACTTTTCCAGAATAGGGTTCTCCACAGTATGGTGGCCTGAGACATCCTAAACATTTAACATAACGTTCACCTCCACCTGCAGTGGTTCGTCTGGAGAACAGATATGCAGCCCTGGCAGCAGAGAGGGAGGAAGTTCCATTAGTGGAGGAAGACAGGCCAGGCCTCACCAAGGTGGGAAGAATCGAGACAGCTGCCACCAAGAAACAACAAGTGGTGGTGGTTGGAAACTCCCTTCTGTGGGGGACAGAGGGAGCCATCTGTTGACCTGATCTGTTGTCTTGAGAGGTTTGCTGCTTGCCCAGAGCCTGGATCTGAGATGTCACGGAGCGACTACCAAGGCTTATCTGGCCCTCTGACTACTACTCCATGCTACTCATCCATGTGGGTACCTATAATACAGCCTGGGGAGACCCTGAGCATATCAAAAGTGACTACAAGGCTCTGGGTGCAAGGGTGAGGGGGTCTGGGGCTCAGGTTGAGTTCTTGTTGATCCTACCAGTCAAGGGAAAGGGGCCAGGCAGGAGCAGGTGCATCCTGCAGATCAACACCTGGCTGCACAGGTGGTGAGGCCACCAGGGCTTTGGCTTCTTTGACCATGGACTGTTCTTCCAAGAAGGATTGCTAGGAAGAGAAGGGATACACTTGACCAAGAGCGGGAATAGTGTCTTCGTAGACAGGCTCACTAATCTAGTGACGAGGGCTTTAAACTAGGTTTGCTGGATGATGCAGACCAAAGCCTTGAGGTAAGTGGGGAAGCAGAAGAGCTGAAGGAAAAGCAAGTGGCGGGGAGGAAGGGGGGCGCGACAGGAGAAGTGCTCTCATAGTTCCTGAAAAACCAGGGCAATCAACTAGTTACCTCAGGTGCCTGTATACAAATGCACGGAGCCTGGGAAACAATCAGAAAGAACTGGAAGTCCTCGATCAGTCACAGAACTATGACGTGATTGGAATAACAGAGACTTGGTGGAATAGCTTGCATGACTGGAGCACTGTCATGGATGGTACAAACTGTTCAGGAAAGATAGGTAGGGGAGAAATGGAGGAGGAGTTGCACTTTATATAAAGGAACCACGATTGCTCAGAGTTCCAGTATGAAGCTGGAGATAGGCCTGTTGAGAGTCTATGGATTAGGGTCAGAGAGGAAAGCAACAAGGATGATATCATGTTGGGGGTCTTCTATACCAGACCAGGAGGCAGTGGTGGATGAGGCTTTCTTCAAACAGCTAGCGGAAATTTCCTGATCAATTTTCCTGGCTCTCATGGGGGACTTTAATCACTCCAACATCTGCTGGAAGGGCAATACAGCAGTGTGCAGGAAATCCAGAAAGATTTTGGAGAGTGTTGGGGGCAACTTCCCAGTGCAAGTGCTAGAGCGGCCAACTGGGGGTCATGCCCTTCTTGACCTGCTGCTCACAAACAAGGGAGAATTGTTGGGGAATGTAGTAGTGGATGGCAACTTGGGCAGCAGTGACCATGAGATAATTGAGTTCAGGATCCTGAGGAAAGGAAGGATGGACCCTGGACATTAGAAAAGCAGACTTTGACTCATGTAGGGAACTCATAAGCAGGATCTCCTGGGAAGCCAGACTGAAGGGGAGAGGAGTCCAGGAGAGCTGGCTGTACTTTAAAGAAGCCTTATTGAGAGTGCAGGAACAAACCATTCCAATGCACTGGAAGGCTAGCAAGTATGGCAGAAGACCAGCTTGGCTTTGCAGGGAACTCTTCAGTAAGCTAAATCACAAAAAAGGAAGCTTATTAAGTGAAAACTTGGATAAATAACTAGGTAAGAATACAAGAGTATTGCTCGGGGGTGCAGGGATGAAGTCAGGAAGGCCAAAGCACAATTGGAGTTGCAACTAGTAAGTGACATGAAGGATAACAAGAAAGGTTTCTACAAATATGTCAGTAGAAAGAGGAGGATCAGGGAAAGTGTGGGTCCCTTACTGAATGGGGGAGGCAACCTTTTGACAGAGGATGCAGAAAAGGCTGAAATACTCAATGCATTTTTTGCCTCAGTCTTCACAGGGAAGGTCAGATCCCAGAGTACTTCACTGGGCAGTACAGTGTGGGGAGGAGGTGAGCATCCCTCTGTGGTGAAAGAACAGGTCAGGAACTACTTAGAAAAGCTGGACATGAACAAGTCCGTGGGGCTGGATGGGATGCATCCAAGATTGCTGAGGGAGTTGACTGATGTGATTGTAGAGCCATTGGCCATCATCTTTGAAAACTCATGGTTCCAGATGATTAGAAAAGGGCAAACATAGTGCCTGTATTTAAGAAATGGAAAAAGGAGGATCCAGGGAACTATAGACCAATCAGTCTCATCTCAGTCCTTGGAAAAATCATGGAGCAAGTCCTAAAGGAATCTACTTTTAAGCACTTGGAGGAGAAAAAGGTGATCAGGAACAGTCAGCATGAATTCACCAGGGACAAGTCATGCCTGACTAACTTGATTGCCTTCTATGATGAGGTGACTGGCTCTGTGAATGCAGGAAGACTGGTGGATGCGGTGTACCTTGATTTTAGCAAGGTTTTTGATACACTCTCCCACAACATTCTTGCAGGCAAGTTAAGGAAGTATGGGCTGGATGAATGGACTGTAAGGTGCATAGAAAACTGGGTGCAGCCTTGGGCCCAGAGAGTAGTAATCAATGGCTCAATGTCTAGTTGGAAGCCGGTATCAAGTGGAGTGCCCAAGGGGTTGGTCATGGGGTTGGTTTTGTTCAATGTCTTCATCAGTGACCTGGAAGATGGCATAGAGTGCACCCTCAGCAAGTTTTCAGATGACACCAAGCTGGGGGAGTAGTAGATACGCTGGAGGGTAGGGCTAGGATTCAGAGTGACCTATACAAATTGTAAGACAGTGCTAAAAGGAATTTCATGAAGTTCAACAAGGACAAGTGCAAAGTCCTGCACTTAGAATGGAGCAATCTCATTCACCAGTACTGACTGGGCAGCAGCTCTTCAGAAAAGGACCTGGGGCTTACAGTGGACAAAAAGGCTGAATATGAGCCAGCAGTGTGCCCTTTCTGATAAGAAGGCTAACGGCATACTGGGCTGCATTGGTAGGTGTGTTGCCAGTAGGTCCAGGGAAGTGATTCTTCCCCTCTATTCCGTGGTGGTGAGACCACATCTGGAGTTGTGGGGCTCCCACTACAGGATGTGGACCAATTGGAGAGAG